ACATTGTATGCCGTTGGGCAGTCAACCACTAGGAAGTTAGTGGTAATGGTAGCCGTGTAAGGGCCTGTACCAATAGTAAAGGGTAAATGTATGCTCCCTAAGGGTTGCACGATATCACCGGAGAAGCTTATCAGAGGAGAAATCGAGCGATCGAGCAAGTGTTCAGCTACACTGAGTGCCCTGAAAGCTTCGGCAAACATGATATTGACCGAAGCCCCTGTGTCTACGAGGATTCGTCGAACATCAAAGTTGGCTATGTGAGCCTCCACGATCAATGGGTCGTTATGAGGGTAGATGATGCCTCTTTCTTCCTCAGGGTAGAAACATATCGGATCCCAGTTAGGCTTTTGATACTTCCCTCCCCTGATGTCTTCCACGTGAAACACTTGGTGACCAGGCCTCAGACTTCGTTCACTGTTTTTCATGGCCCTATTGGAAGATTCAGATATGGGTGTGCCGCCGCTTATGGAATATATGACATTCACCTGGCGTTGGTTACGGTTATCCCTTTGAGGGTGAAGAAGGAATTGATCAATTTTTCCTTCTCGTGCCAAAGCTTCAATACGATCACGGAGGATGATACATTTCTCGCTATCATGGCCGTTATGCTCATGGTAGCAACAAAACATGCCCGCGTTATTCGGGGGCGTGTAATCTGGGTGCCTCGGCTTTGGCTTTGGTATCAGGTGAGCTATGCTGGGGTAAATGGCCGCGCATGTGGCATTCAAGGGCGTGTATGTCTCATACCTTGGGGTAGGGGGTATCTTGACGCGGGTTTGACCCACTGCATTGACTGCCTGGGGGCGAGCGTTATTGTGGCGATACCCTTGGTTATCGGGATAGTGTCCCTTACTCTTTTTACTGAAATGAGAGTGGTGAGGATGGAAATCCTTCCTCTTGCCTTGAAATTGATATGTCTGTTGATTCGGCGAAGCATTATGCAAGGCATGGGGAGGTGCCACTGCTGTTTTGGAAAGTCGAGGTCTTCTCATTTAGGTGAGTCTGGCTTCCACCTCCCACTTGTTGATAAAGGATGGTTGTAGGGGGTTTCTCCTGATATGTCTTTGCCTCGGCGGAGGCATGGTTATAAGCCTGCGCCATCACCTCAGAGTAAGTCTTCCAAGTATTGGCATTGATCATGTATTTAAAGAAACAATCACGTAGGCCTGCCGTGAAGGCTTTGAGGGCAGTCTTGTCGTCTGCCTCGGCACACCGGGAGTATTCATGGCTGAAGCGGCCAGCATACATACGTAATGACTCGTCTGGCTTCTGGCGGATAGTGTACAGGTCATCTGCAGAGTGCAAGCGATCGGTTTGGAAAATGTGTTGGGAAACAAATAGTTTCCTCAATTCCTCAAATGAGTCTACCGTCTCAGGTGTAAGACGACAATACCAATTTAGAGCTCCGCCAGAGAGGGTGGAGGGGAAGAGAAGACATCGCTCTTCGTCGGTGTGCATCCGGTATGCCATGGTGGACTCAAAGAGGTTAAGGTGCTCTCAATCGGGTCCTCTTTTCCAGTATAAAGTTGCAAGCCAAGCTTTTGCTTTGTCTTTGCTTGAAGGGGGGTGTTGAGGATCCTCCTTGTAAGAGGGCCAGGCCTGGGTTGGTTCCAGTCAGGTATTTCAGCCTGACGTTCAGCCTTCAACTTGTTTACTTCCTCAATAAGTTGTAGGACAAGGGGGTCTTTGAGCGGAGTTATGTGCCACTGGAGCTTTCTTTCGTAAATCTCCATCTCCTCTTGGAATTAGGAAGGTTTGATCAAGGGCATGTGATTTTTCCCTGGACTCGTTGTACTGGCTTCCAGGGTATGTCTGTCGGAACACCTCTGAGTCCCCTGTACCCTCATGTCTCTCTAGGACTTGTTGCCCCTTCCCCAAATTGGTGGCCGGCTCGGGCCGTGGCAGGGGACCGAGTCTCTCAGAAATCCTTGGGTCATTGATCTTTGAGCTTATATGGATGGAATTCTCTCGACGTTGCTTCAGGAAATCCCGACAATCGCGAAAGACGGCTTTCGATCCTTCTGCCCCTTCAGCAAAGAGGTGTCTCCCTCCACTTCTCATGGTTCGGGTCGAAGCAACTGGGTTAAGAGAAGCCTCATGTTGATTATCAAGTCGAGGGGTAATCTGTTCCCTATCAGGGATATCTATGTCGAATGCATGTGACCCTCCATGTTGGAGGGCACCCAGTTGATGGTTGACTTCCACGGGGGCAACAAGCTCGCGTGTCTGAGCTTGCCTAGCTTCGTGGAGTGTCTCGAAGAGCTTCTCATATTGCTCCTGGAGGACCTCATTCCTCATTGCTATCTTGTTGTTCTGAGCTTCCAACTCATCATCGACTTTAGCTTGAAGAAGAACTCGTTTTTCCTTCTTTCTTTCGTTGTTTCGCACTATGTGCAAGGGGGGTGTGTCATTCTGTGTGCTGTGGCTTCCTTCGCTTCCCATGTTGGAGAGGGATGCCTGATCAAAAGAAAGTGTACGAATGATAGAAACCAGCTTGACACAGCTGAAGAGAGTAGGAATAAGTGTCGTTTCCCACAGACGGCGCCAAATGTTGATGCACAAAATCAGCGAAGACTTTGGTACAACAGAAAGTGTCAGGTTTTATGACCTTCGCTTGGTTGCTTCGGTCACTAGTGAGGATAAGTACGTAAATGAATAGAGACAGAGAAGCAAACACAGGATGTACGTGGTTCACCCAGATTGGCTACGTCCACGGAGTAGAGGAGTTCTTATTAGTAGTGAAGGGCTTACACAAGTACAAAGGATCAAGCTCTCAATTTAGTGAGTTCTTGTGAATGATTTCACACAAAATGGCATTAGGCAATATTGTGGGGGAATGACCCCTATTTATAGAAAAACTTGTAGCTTTGTCACATTGACATGTGTCATGTTGTGATTGGTTCTTGATGTCGACACGTGCTGCGCTCTGATTGGCTTCTAATCTTGACACGTGTCGAGTAGTGATTGGCCTCCTGGTCGGAGGGGAACTCTTCTGGGTCCTTGACAGTATAGCGTTGGCCGGTGCTCGGTAGTTTCGGGATTGGTCAAGTATGGTACAAACAAGGTGTGTTGTGTTCAACTGTCCTGATAAGTCGCACACTAGATAATGTATATCCATTGGTCTAGCTTGGTCGAGAAAATTACACCCTTATCCTTAAAGGAGGCTTGATATAGATCCACAGATGTTTTGGGTTACGACAGGTACGCGCCCAATGCTCATTATCACCACACCTATGATAGGCTCTTTCAAAGTTTCTAGGAGTATTGTTCATATAAGCTTTGCCTTTGTGGAGATTTACATTTTTGAAGGTCGGGCTTAAATTATGCCTTGGAATCTGGTTGTGAAACTGCACACCATGATTCTTGCCTTTCCCGTGCCACTGGCCTCATTTGTGGCCACGTTCTCGTTTATGATTATTGCCACTAGAGGATGTGGCGTTCATTTCGAGGGAAGCAACATTCACTTATGGGAATTGTGCAGATCCAGTAGGTCGGGACTGATGATTTTTCATCAGGAACTTATTGTTTTGTTCAGCTACCAAGAGCATAGATATCAGCTGGTTGTATTTAGTGAAGCCTTGCTCTTTATACTACTGATGCAAGAGCACATTTGAGGCATGAAATGTGCTAAAAGTCTTTTCCAGCATATCTTCCTCAATGATGGTTTCCTCACAGAGTTTCATCTGGGAGCTAATTCTGAACATCATAGAATTAAACTTAGCCACTGACTTGAAATCTTGGATCCTTAGATGAGTCCACTCATAACGAGCCATTGGAATAATCATCGTTTTCTGGTGATTGTATCTGTTTCTCAATGCCAAAATTGCAATAAAATTAAATTTGCAATAAAATTAAATTTGCAATTCAAGATGGGTGATTGTTTTGATTACAGTAAAATTAACATAAATAAACACTGAGTTAGTAATCAAGAACTACACAAAACAAGAAATCAAAGATATAAGTAATTGTTAAATTGAGAACGAGAAGCAGACATGGTGCTAGCCGTTCTTCGCGAGAGTACATCATGCAGGTGAGGCAGAGGAAGAAGAAGAACAGGAAAATCCTTGGAGAAAGCTTTTTTTTTTTTCTTTTCGGTAAAGGGAGATGAGAACTAGTTAATGTTAGAGAGTTGTGCTGATAACGTGTTATAAATAGACAAAAGTTAGAGAGATAACCTTTGCCAGGAACAGGAGCGAAGCGGTTGCAAAATATCACAATGAACTTTAGTAGCTATAACACAAAAGGATGACAGATAAAGAGAGGAATAGATACTGATATTATTTCTTTGATTCTTTTTTTCGCAATGTGTTTTGATAGCACACAGAGTGTTCTATTTATAGAGCAACCCGTAATAACAACCATCCAAATACAAGGATGACACTTTTGAAAGTATCAAATACTATTCCCAAGCCTTTATTCCTTTTGAGTGGGCATTCACCCACTAATTCTACAACAATATACAGTTTATGGGGGTGTCACGTTTGCTATTCATTTGTCGGATCCTAGATATTTGAAGGGAGCATTCTACAAAATTTGAACCAGTTTCTACTTCAAGTTTCCTCTGTAACAAAGCTCATATCGGTGTTGCTGCCGTACGTCATAAGTCCCTACTACAGCTTATGTACGTGAATCCACGTAACACAAGCATAGCATGAGTAATGGTTAGGCTTGATTTTCGATTGGATCGATCCAATCGAAAATAAATTGTACCATTTCCAATTCAACAGGTTTCGAAATTGAAGAAATAAAATTCCATGTTCTGAACTTCAAAACTCGTCCCAATTCAAAAATATTGGAAAATTTTGAAATCAGATTACTTTTGAAGTTTTTGGTACACAATACATTTAGGGTGATGTTATCTACCCATTTCTTTTTACCTCTCATACCTCTCTGAATTTACGACCGTCGGATCAAATAAATTGAAGATGATAAAAAAACATAAATTAACAAGGAGTGTGTGAGAGGTAAAAACGAATGTGTGGATAACACTACCCTACATATAACTCAAAAGAACCAATTTTTATAGATTCATACATCATTCAAAATACATCAAATAAAACAGAGACTCAAAATAGCACAATTCCTATCCCATTTTTGTTCCTCTTCGGATTTTTTGGATTTCGGATTCAAATCGATCATAACAAATGTGGATTGAATCCATAAGCAGAGAGATTTGAGCGAAACTGAAATAATACTGCATCATTTAAACAACAGTCAAATATAGACTCACTTTTGTTCATTCATACACTAGTACTAAAACTACTCCTCCATTCCATCCTACAGGAATGTCTAGACTCATCTATGTAACGGAGTTGTCATGTCATACGTTAAGAGAAGCACCGTTGTCAGCCGCCGTAAGATTCAAAATCATGGTAGCAGCTCTGACGGCCCACGCATCAGGTTTCGGATAATTCTTCATACTAGACTCCCCAAAACACGACTCAAGCATGTCCGTGTGTATCACACCCGGGCTGAGTGCAAGAACCGCCATCTCACTCGGTACTTCCCTCGCCACCGATCGAGTCAACCCCTCCACCGCCCATTTCGACGCACAGTATGGTGCCACGTGCGCTGCACCCGATCGACCCCACCCGGAGGAGATGTTTACTATGATTCCGGATGGGTTCTTCCCCTCATTCCGCGACAGCATCAGTGGAATGAAGTGGCGCAGCACGTTAGCGACTCCTTTAACGTTGGTATCTATCACGCTGTCGAATTCTTCCACCGGAACCTCCCAAAGCTTCTTGTTGTCGTTGATCATGCCTGCATTGTTCACTACAATATCTGGGATTCCCCTCTTCTCCATAACAACTCGCGCCAGATCAGCAATGCTGTTATTAGACCTCTGCCAATAATATCATTAAAAAATCAGAACCAAATTCCACGGATTAAAAGAAAATGCAAAGGAATTGAAATAATCTTCCATGTAAAAATTACTGTGAAACCTGCAAATGATAGATTAAAATCCAACCAATAATCTCACTTGACACAAATTTTTAGTATCACAAGATGAAAGCCTTAATTGCTTGCAAGAGGCCTACGAAAACAAATTAACTTCCAAACCAACTAGTCATTTTATTTATTATGCCTTGAATGCTCCCTAAGCACAAGCATATCTAAATGCCTTTACATGTCCTCAAAGTTCAACCACAACGCAATACCTTACGTAATAGAACTATAAGCATACAAATAAAATAAAGTAAAACTTTTTTAGCACTTAGAGAAACCTCCACAGATACCATGGGGGTTCAGCTTAATACTTTACAGGATAGTGTCTACCGTCCACTAACGTCTCCTAATAAGCAACATCATTACTCTCAAATTTGCATATATCAATGAATCAATGCATAGACTACAAAATCACTATGCAATGGAACTTAAAGAAAGTCCATCAGAAGAAAGCAATCACGAAAGAAGCAAAAGGAAAATAAAGAAGTACTTGTCAAATAAAGAGAAAACATGTGTTCGACATGTATTTGTGTCAAAGGATTTAGCGTATCAACTAACACAAGATTATAATAATCTAGAAGCAGAATACTCAAGAGGTTAAAAACGGAGCAACAGCATTGAGGAATAAGTTGCTCATACAGATTTTTTCGTGACCCCAATTTCTAGTCTTGCTCCCATGAGTTGAGTAAGATTTCATCAATTCTTTCATTGTTTACTCTTAATTCATTTAGTTGTTCTTGTTGAGGGCATATTTTCTGTTATTTCTCAGGTGCTTGTAGCTTCAGAACTTTGAGCAGTGGTCTTGTCATGGATGATTTTTAGGCCTTGTTTGGTCTCTAGGATTGGATTGGAATGGATAACTTGTCAAATTCAAGGTATATTAAAGGTGCAGGAGAACAAATTTTCAATTTGCGGGAATAAGAAGGGGATTAGACATGAAGGAAATTTGTCCCTTTCAATCCTCTATTTTGAGGGGGGATTGGGATGGATAAGTTTCCTTAATAAATAATCCATCTTCTACCTCCAAGTTTGACAAAAAAATTTCATTTCTTCTTAAAGAGCCTAGGCACAATGGAAAGGTTGCTCCTTTGTGACCGAAAGGTCATGGGTTCTAGTCGTGGAAACAGTCTCTTTGCAAAGCAAGGGTAAGGCTGCGTACAATAGAAGTCCCCCAGCCCACCTCCCGGACCCTCACAATGCGGGGAGCTTGTTGGCTTGACCCTTCTTAAATATACCTTCAGTATAGTTGGTTATCCATTCTAATCCATTCCTAGAGATTAAACGATGCCTTAGTATCATCGTGATTGATTTCGTGATTTTCCAGATACTTGTCTAGTATTTAGATAATAATTGTTACCATGAAACAATCTAATTTAAATATCAAATGGAAATTTCTCTAAATTAGATATAAAATGAAATAATTTTGCAGAAAGACGGAGCTAACCAATTCACAATTTGCACACCAGAAGAACCAAACAAATCAATGCAAATTACTGATAAATACTACTGAAACCGAAATTATTTCAAGTAAAAGAATTAAATGAATAAAATGAAAACTCACGACGTCGGCGTTGAGGAAGAGGTGTTTGTCGGAGGAGAGCTCGGATTGGAGGGCGTTGAGCTTATCTTGGGAACGGGAGCAGCCGATTACGGTGTGGCCCCTCTTCGCCATCTCCACCGCCAGTGCTCGCCCCAGCCCTTTGCTCACTCCCGTTATGACTACGATCCGCGACGCCGCCTTGCCTCCTCCGCCTCCCTTGCTCGCCACGTTCATCCCTCTCTGCTCTTTCTTCTCTGTCTCTCGGTTTCGGCCACGAGTGGGCTGTTTCTTCTCTGTAAAATGTGAAGTATGCGTAGTGGACGGGACTTGTAATGTGGACATTAGAAAGTCACGTGAGGATCACGTTGGATGTGTGGGCCCACCAACCAAAACCTCGCCTAAAACGCACATTACATTGGCTATTAGGGACTCCAAGTTCATAGCCGCCGCCGGAGACGAAGCAGAACGCTGCAAACCCTAGCGCTTCTTCAGGAATTAGCAGCAGGACGCCTCTGAAACGCAGCGTTTTGGTTCCCAACATGGAAACGGAAGCGGCATCCCTGAAGAGGAAGTCGGAGGGAGAGGCCGAGTTGGAAGAAGCTCCACAGAAACAACAAAAGAGGGACAACGGTTGGGCAAGCGTCGACGACGAAGCGGTGGCCTGCTTGCACGACGTGTCGTATCCTGAGGGCTATGTCGTTCCTCCCCCTTCTTCTTCTTCTTCAGCCGCAGCAGAAGCTTCTGAACCTGCCAAGAAATTCCCCTTCCCTCTCGACCCTTTTCAGTCTGAGGCCATAAACTGCCTCGAAAAAGCCGAGTCCGTCATGGTATGCAAATTTGTTACTGGTTTTTTTTTTTTTTTTTTTCAATTGAAACTTTTAGCATTGAGTTTATTTTAATTGAAAGTTTTTGACTTTTGAATTGGTGCATTTTTGAATTCAATGTATGCAATGATAGGTGTCTGCTCATACCTCGGCTGGGAAAACTGTGGTAGCATCGTATGCGATTGCAATGTCTCTAAGAAACAAGCAGAGAGTGATATACACTTCACCAATCAAAGCACTGAGCAACCAAAAGTATAGGGAGTTCAAAGAGGAGTTTTCTGACGTTGGCTTGATGACTGGCGATGTAACTATCGATCCCAATGCTTCCTGCTTGGTATGCAATGCACGCCTTTTCTTTTGTGTTGGATTTTTGGGTGTTTATCCTTTTGGGTTTTTGGTGATGATACTTTTGAATTTCATTCAGGTTATGACCACAGAAATCTGGCGTAGCATGCAGTACAAGGGGTCAGAGATAACGCGTGAGGTGGCGTGGATTATCTTCGATGAGGTGCATTATATGCGTGATAGGGAGAGAGGTGTGGTGTGGGAAGAGAGCATTGTTATGGCTCCAAAGAATGCTCGGTTTGTGTTCCTCTCAGCAACTGTGCCAAATGCTAAGGAATTTGCTGATTGGCTTGCAAAGATTCACCGTCAGCCTTGTCACATTGTCTATACTGATTATAGGCCAACTCCTCTGCAGCATTATATTTTCCCTTCTGGAGGGAATGGTTTGTACTTGGTAGTAGATGAAAAAGGGAAATTTCGCGAAGACAGCTTTCAGAAAGCTCTTAATGCTCTTGCTCCCGCTGCCGATAGTGCTAAGAAGAAGGAAAATGGCAAGTGGCAGAAGGGTTTGATCATGGGCAAGGCTGCTGAGGAAAGTGATATCTTCAAGATGGTCAAAATGATAATTCAGCGTCAGTATGATCCTGTAATACTTTTTAGCTTTAGCAAAAGGGAGTGCGAATCTCTTGCAATGCAGGTACGTACCTATCTGTTTTAAAGTATACTTCTTAAATGAGGTTGGCTGCTACCAAGCTCCCGCCCAATGTAGAGTGAACCTTTTGCACCCTGTTGCCTACATGGTTCAGACATTATGAGCTATGTTTTGAGTATCTGTTCAATACCCTTGTCAACCTTTTGGATGAAAGATTAAGTATAATATACATGTATTGGTTATTCATTCAGAAACGATGCTACTTGGTTGGGAATCCTTGTGAACTATGTTCCAATTAAATGTGGCTGTGTCTGACTGTTGATTTGAATGTATTGATAGAAATATTTTCGTTGTAATTTTTTAGTTCCTTATCTTTTTGTCAGCACCAGTTTTTTGGTTCCAATTTTTTGTTTTCTTTTTGGTGTCACAGATGGCAAAATTGGATCTAAATGGGGACAATGAGAAAGCAAATGTAGAAACCATCTTCTGGAGTGCTATGGATATGCTTTCTGATGATGATAAAAAGTTACCTCAGGCAAGCTTTCGTTTCTTCCTTTCTGAGCTGGCATGTCTGTTTAAGCATTGTGTTTGGTTTGCATGAAGTAGTGTTGTACTCTTTCAAGTATTAGACCAGATGTAACATTTTTCTACGTTTAAGCGTTCACGAGTTAGACTTTGTATGTGTGTGTGTGTCTTTCTTTTCCTCCATGTATTTGTGTTATCTCGTGACTACTTTGAAGTTGAGTAAGCAAGGTGGAGGTTTGATGGTTTAGTTAAAGCACAGTGGAAACTAATACGCATTTAATGGTTGGGTTCTTCCAGTTAACGTCAAATAGGATAACAAAAAAGTTGCAATGAAGTTACTTAATATTACTTGCTTAGTAGATATTCAGATAACTTGATGTTTAATTTTATCTGAAATAATGTTTCTATATTTTTTATATATGTACCCACTGCTGCTAAGAGTTTTGCTTTATTTCATAATGATATTCATTCCTTAGTATACTGCTTAAACAGGTTTCACATATGCTACCCCTTTTGAAGCGTGGAATTGGTGTGCATCATTCTGGCTTGCTTCCAATTCTAAAGGAAGTGATTGAGATATTATTTCAGGAAGGTCTAATCAAGGTTGGGTCTAAATTCTATTTCATCTATTTTTGTTGTATGCTTAATCTTTAAATTTGATTGGCTACTATTGCTTTGGTTGTGATATATATGTGATCCCAATCGGTGTGTCCAAATCTTGACCGGGCAGTTGGGCCTTTTTTTTCATATAAAAATCTTGATTTTGTTCTGGCTAGACTACTATGACCACTTTTAGCGACCTCCAGATTGGTCTATTTCTTCTGGTGACAAACTGTTGCAGACATATTTTATTGGCCTAGAAAGCCTTTTCAATAAGTTGTATTTTCATTCATTTTCCTGCACTTCCAACTGAATTACATACATTTTTATGTATATCTATGCTTATATTTTCTTTTAACAAAGTGGTATAAGTATTGAACTGTATTTCTTTAGTGTTTATTTGCCACAGAGACCTTCAGCATAGGATTGAACATGCCTGCAAAAACTGTTGTGTTTACCAATGTCCGGAAATTTGATGGTGATAAGTTCAGATGGCTATCCAGTGGAGAGTATATACAAATGAGTGGCCGTGCTGGTCGCCGTGGTATTGATAAGCGTGGAATATGTATACTTATGGTAGATGAGAAGCTGGAACCATCTACTGCTAAAATGATGCTTAAAGGAAGTGCTGATTGTTTGAACAGGTGCATCCCCTAAGCTTTTACTCTGAAATTCTATTAAAATATATATATATATATATATATATATTGAACAGTAAGAAGATTTTCTCTTTTAGTTTTGTTAGGTTTTTCTCCTACTGACCTTTGTTCTCTTGCTTTTCAGTGCTTTTCATTTGAGCTACAACATGCTTCTGAATCAATTACGCAGCGAAGATGGTAATCCAGAAAATTTGCTTCGTAACTCGTTCTATCAATTTCAAGCTGATCGTGCCATCCCCAGTCTTGAGGTTAGTTGGCTACCATAGAGGATAGTGATTTTGTAATTGCAGTTGGACTGCCTTTTATTCGTATCTTGGTTGGGATATGTGTTTCAGACAGTGTCTTCACAATCTAAAGAAATCTATTAAGACATTACATACATATACGATCACTTCTGTTGTGTTTCTGATTTGTGAATTATGTTATTGTTGCAGAAGCAAGCAAAGGATCTTGAGAAAGAGAGGGATTCAATTATAATTGAAGAAGAAGATAGTGTAAAGAATTATTACAATCTGTTACAGCAATACAAGAGTTTGAAACAGGAACTTCGTGATATTGTGCTTTCTCCAAAGTACTGCTTACCATTTCTGAAACCTGGTAGGCTTGTCTCAATACAATGTGCTAAAAGTGATGAAAGTTCCCCTTCTTTTTCCATTGAGGACCCGGTCACATGGGGAGTGATACTAAATTTTCAACGGGTGAAAACTGCTTCAGAAGGTGAGGATGCTGAATTGCTTAGAGTCTTTATTCTGATTTGAGTTTTTGAATTGCTAAACAATCCATTCTGTTGTCCAGATGATGCAAGTAGAAAACCCGAAGATTCAAACTACACAGTGGATGTTCTGACAAGGTGCAGGGTGAGTACAGATGAAGTTGCTAAGAAAACCATCAAAATTATCCCTCTCAAAGAGGCAGGAGAACCTGCTGTTGTCTCCATCTCCATATCTCAGGTAAATGCCCTACCAGGAGAACCATCAAAATTAACTGATGTTCCTTAGGTTGCTGATGCAGTGATTCACTGATCTAAGTGACCTTATTAATATTCTTTGCAAATTTCCGCTTCTATTTTGATAGGGTTTAAGTTTGTGTACAAGTCATTATGGCAATTCTTTAAGGGATCATCTTCCATTCTGTGCTATGTAAACTATTAATGGTTTATCACTTACCCAAAAGCTTTTTATTTTGCTAACTTATGTTTTCTGAACAGATAAATAGTATGAGTGGACTTTGTATGGTCATTCCTAAGGATCTTTTGCCACTACCAGCTCGAGAAAACACACTGAAGAGAGTTCTTGAAACTCTGTCAAGATTTGATAAAGGAAAGATTCCTCTTCTTGATCCAGAAGAAGATATGAAGGTATGCTACTGCAATTTGACTTTTTAGTTTTTAGTTTATTATTTTCTTTTTAAAATTCCGTGTCACTAATTTCAAGTGCACTTTGCTGTTCTTCAGATTGAAAGTAGTTCATACAAAAAGGTGTCTCGTAGGATCGAGGCTTTAGAGAACCTGTTTGACAGGCATGAAGTTGCTAGAACTCCACTTATTGAGCAAAAGCTTAAGGTTTTTCATATGAAGCAGGATTTGGCTGCCAAGATCAAGTCAATCAAGAAAACAATGCGCTCTTCCACTGCATTAGCTTTTAAAGATGAACTGAAGGCAAGAAAACGGGTCCTTCGGAGGCTAGGGTAATGAATTCTAGTTATTTTCATCTCACTGTTTCTGGCCTTCCGTCATTTTCTATTTTAACCATAAAGTTCTTTTTTATCTTTTAGTTTTAAACTGGGAATTCCATCACTTTGATGCCTTAGAAA